ATGACATCTTATACATTTTTGCAATCAGAATATTAAAAACTCTATTCATCTGCGAAAAATCCAGTATGGCGTCTATAAGAAAAAATAAAGTTCATGCTCGATGACGATTTGAAATTCTGATTATACCTTTTTGTAGAGAATAAAAAGTGACAATGTTAATGTGCAATTTATTTTGAAATCCCACTCCAAATAAGATCAGGAAAAAATGAAACCATTTTGAGAAAATTCCTTTTTTCCGTCTCCGGAAGCTCTTTGAATTTGATTGCGCATTTGCTACCATTTGCGCGACTCCGTTTCTCTTACAGTTTCCGAGATCCCAGTGGTGAGGGTCGGACTTGAAACACCCTGTATACATTTTTAGATTTTTTTATTGTGCGTATCTTTACTTTTTATGTGTCAAAATATGAGTATATCAATTGTTACCAGTTATTTGTGATACGATGTATTTAGACTTTATTGTGAACCCTTTGACGTGATTATATACATTTCATATATATTCGGCAAAATAAATACTACTACTACTACTCGTTGTTTCAAGAAGGTCTTGACAGAAGGGATTCCAAAACCCAATGTAGGATTTCCCAAAGCACTTGAAAGAACATTGAAAATTTGACGATTTTGACTACTTAAGCCATCCGAATCAACAAACTTGAATTGACTAGAAGGAGCCAAGCCTATTCCATTGTTTGTCGCCAAAATTGCCTAGCTTTAGCGCATACTTTTGACTACCAATGCCTACCAAAGGTATCAATTTCAAATCAATCATGAATAATACTTACTGGTGGAAACATCTATATTCATTAGGCTGGTGCTCTTTGCGAATTATATCAAAACATTCAGTTATGTCAAGTGCACCATGAGAATTAGGAGATAAACAAATCCTTGACCGGCTCCTAATTGATCTGAATTCGTTGATCTGAATATATTTTACTTGGTACTTCCAGCTCATGTTAAAAATTAGCATTATCATTAACATTATCGCCTGCTTTTTGAAAAAAGTCCGTAGTACGACGCGCAATATGGGGACGTGCGTTATCTTGCTAAAAAAGGACGTGTGGACGGCCGTCTAGATACAGCAGTAAAGTGGTTTGTAGGACATCATCCCAATCATATCCCATACATGTTCGATGGGACTTGAATCCATGGCAAAACATTAACTCCTGCTTCTTGTACTTCTTCTACGGTAGTAAAGTGGTTGTAGGACATCATCACCATAACGCGCAAAGGGAAGTAGTAATCGGCTACCATAGGCAATAGCCCCCAAACCATTACTCCAACAGTCCCGTGTACATGCCTCTCAACAGCAAATCCAATATCACGCCGTTCTCCACGGTGACCATCGTGCGTACCTAGACAGAATCGAGAATCGTCGCTGAAGTTGACATTATGCCATTCTGCTTCCCAATGTTGCCGCTCTCTGCTCCAGTTTAAACGTTGACGACAGTGGTCCTCAGTCAGAGGAAACACTAGCCGTGGACGGTATGAAAAAGTCCAAAGGCTCGAATGCATCGATAGAGTGTACGCATAGTAACAGGTCTACGTTCTTCTCCAAACCATTGGTCAGCGAACTGACGAGTAGTAGCAAAACGGTCTCATAGGGCTAGTTGTCTGATGCGCCTATCTGACGCTCTGTAGTACGCCTCGGTGGACCAGTTGGCCTTCTTCGTTTTTCTCTATCTTCTATCTACACAAGACACACACGCATTACTGCAATTGAAGTACAATTTTGCGATAGGACAAACCAACTTCTAGATAGGCAATAATTCGACCCCCGCCAAAGTCGCCAACATGGAGATAAATTTGGACGTCTTCGAACTAGAGGCATTTTTTTATGCTTAACACTAGTAAATGAAAGGGCAATAACTAAAAATATCTGTACTATTAAGCTCTCAGAAACTGCATTTTTCAAAACAACTAAGAGATAACATTGTAAAAAAGGTAAAGAAAAACAAGGATAAAACGTTGACATTGCTGCCACAGCATGCTTTAAATATAGCCATTATGTTGCCAAAAAAAAAACAAGCTGTTAGAAATTATTCTTTCTGGGTGTAACACTTCTCATGTCAATGAGTATAAATAAAGCCACAAATTAGTCTTCAGTCTCAGTGCCAATTAACATATGACTATAAGTAAAATAAGAAACGATATGTATGGAAACAAAAGCAGAAAATGTCATCAAAATCCGGGCAGTACTTCTCAAGATATAAGATTAGTTGACAAAACCGACAGACAGAAATTTAATGACTTGTTTTTTCGTGATGTACATCATATAACATCCAAAAAAACAATATCTCATTTTCGAAAAATTTCGCTTTTACGATACTTCGCCGCCAGTAGGCATGGGAAGTAAAAGAGCTGAGATTGTATCCGTGTAAATGGAAGAAACTATAAAGCACGTTATATTCGAATTTCATGCCCTTAGTAATATAAAGATTACCTAAATCAAAGAACTTACCTTTAAATGGAGGTGTATGGCTGAGCAGACTCTTTTTGCTAAATTCATCCTAACACCCTTAGTACCAAATAAGATCGGACTGAAAGGCCTATGAAATTTCATGCACAAGGCCGTATTACAGCACATTGCTATTTTTATTTGAAAGATGTGTGATTTTGGACCCTCATATATAATCCTTGCCCATTAAGAGGATTACTTATTATCCTTCTTTTTAGTCAAAGCTGTCGGTTGCGGTAGGTGCTGGTACTATCATTTTCAAAAATTGACCTAAATCTACAGTTAGGAGTTTGAGTTTTGGCAATATTTTTCATAAAATACGGTTTCGCGCTTTCCGGACCGCATCTGTCGTATAGAACGCGCTGTTTACAAACTCGATTAGAATATAATCGATTCATTAAAAATTAGCGATTAATCGATTATTTTTTAGCGTCTCTAGCATCGACAACTTTGAGTGGCCCTTAAAATAATAAACGGGTTGGTAAGCTGGGTGAGTTCCACCGGAATCACACCATGTTCACTCAAGTTTGAATTGTGTGACGTCATAATGCAACCGCATCAAAGCCTTTATTCTCATAATAGAGCAGAGATCGCTGGAAGGCCCCGAGTGCTATATTTGCGACAGGCCAACGCGATAACACATGTTTACAGATGCCGAGAGGCATTTTTTCTTTTTGCTCCAGCGGGCTTAGATAAGGGGCGTATAGTGGCCGGGTTACAGCTGTGCGGTGCATATTGTTGGGAGCGCGGCGCGGTTAGAAAAGTGCACGGGTGGGTGGTAATGACATAATTGATTGACAGTTGGTGTTGTGGTAAAGTTTAATGGTTTTGGACGAACGGGTATAGTGAGTGGAGGGGATCATGTCTCTGCCGATATACTTCAATATTCATAGGTGAGTATTAAGTTTATGTATAACGCTTCAATAGCATCTCTACTAATTAAATTGAACCTTAAAATCATGGGCGCCCACGAGAGGGCTGGGCTAGTTTTACCGGCCCACAGTTATCTAGAACACCAAGAAAGTTAAAAAATAAAGTAATGCAAATGGATGAAATTTTTCTAAACAAAACCTTGCTTACACTACATTTGCTATGATAAATCATCAAACGTGAAGTTTGTGGTAAGTAATTTGTAATAATTTTTTGTGGCGAAATCGGTGACGTTCTACGTTATCCACCTAGTCGAGTTTTGAAAGATCCAATATATCTCAATATGGGTTCTACTAAAGAAGAAGATATTTCATAAGATATTTAACAAACATGTGTCCTGATTGTTGTATGCATGATTACTTTTCTGTCACTTTTTCTGTTACTATTATTTATAAAGGTTTTTAACAACCCATTGAGGTTAATTATGTCTGTGTAACTTGAAGTAGTGCCAGATAAAACCTTTAACCATATTTTCACAAACTTTTCAGAAATATGGCCTTAATCAATACAAACCAGCCATAATACAAGCTCATGTCGACCCTTTGTCATATTACATTGTATTACTTTTAGATTCGGACTTAAACTTTACATTATGGTAATTTGTTCAATATGCAGCATGGTTTTCCCTAAAAGCGTATAGATAAAAAGTTTCATAAATAGCAAGCTGACATTTTTAAACAAACAGGACAAGAAAGGCTATGTGTTTCCAAAAATAGTGGCTGGAGGTCAGTCGAAAACAGGCCCTTCTCTTAATCAGATACATATATTGGCACAACTGCACAATAAATACAAGGAAAGTCAGTCCAAGAAAGTCAATCATTGAAGGCCAAAATCTAGTTTCGCTGATAATTCTGGAAGAACGAAAATATTAAAAACTTTCGAACTACGAGCTCAAGAAATTATGTATGCAGCACAAATGAAATTAAGAGCCAATGAAAATGTAAAAGCTTCAAAATTATTCAAATACATATTTAACCTCAGATTGGTTTTTTCATACATCAATTTTTATAAAGCTTTTATGGCGTACTATCGTCATATCGTATTCCCTTGTTTATTATGTTTCAAATATAATATTTCTGCGTTTCGGCATCTCATGCATCATAATATCAACTTATTTCAATGATCCGACGCTATATTGGATATGCCATATTGAGTTTCCGTTTTATTTAACAGCAGTTGCCTCAGAAATCTTTCTACATCAAATTTCGTGAGGATGCTACAAAAGTATTTTTTACCAGCTTTTTGAGTGTTCTAGACATCTAGACCACTATGCGGTCTAGTCAACCAGCAGTACAGAGTTCCTAGGTGTGCTTCGATCGGAGGGAAGACAAATAATTTCTTTATAGAGATGTTTTGAGAACGGGTACTCTATCAAGAATATTTTACCCCCCAAGCGGATCCCCAAATGGCGCCTATGCTAACAATAATAATCGTACGAAATGAAAATTTATTTCACATTCCGTAGCAATACACTTAGTAATAATAATAATTTATTGGTGATGTTACCCAGAAATGTGTTTGCCCAAGTCAGCTGAAGTAAGATATAAAAAATGGCAATAAAAGGTAAAAAGTTAATAGATAGAGTTGCTCAAAAAATTATAAAAGAGACTAATTACAATAAAAATTATGCCAGGCTGAAAAATTGGAGTTAATTGTTTAACATCGAGAGATTTTATTTGATTTGTCAATATTTAGATTTGGACACAATTGGTCTTTGTTTCTGGTGTTGTATCTTGGTGTGTTGCGTAATTGTGAGAGTGAGTGCATGAGGCAAGCATAGACGTTCTCGTATACGCAAGTCAGTGACATTCAATTTCATGAATTCATTCCTGCAAGGATCCCTGTACCTCAAATTTGCCATGTAACATATCTTATCTGTAGGCATGTGTGAAGAATGACCCCATGCCTGAGTGGCGTAAGTGATTCTACAGGCATGATAACTGATGAGCAGTGTTTTCTGAGACACTGAATTTCTCAGATTACGTATCAGATAAATAGCTTTTGTAGCATGATGTACATGCTCGTCGCAACTCGGAGAAGAATCTACGTACACCCCGAGAAACTTGCGTTGTCATCATTTGTGGTAAAATTCCGAAGAGATATACTCATTGTCTGAGTTTTGTTTTCATTTAAAGGCAGCCCATTAATAACAAAGCAACTTTGAATGTCTCCCTGCATGCGATGATTCATTGTCTAGGCTTTCTAAGGTGTTGTGAGTTAAAAGAAGACTAGTGTCGTCGGCACATAGGAATCGTTTGCTACTAGTACCGTTACTAAAACAATTCTGTATCTCATTGATGTATAATAAGACTAACAATGGTCCAAGTACAGATCCTTGAGGAACACCACGCATAATTGGGGTGACAGTAGATCTGCAACTTTTGAATTCTTTCAGACAGGAAAGACTTTAGAAGTTGCACACTGGTTAGAAACATGGATTAAAAAGGAAGCTTGGACAGTAGTATCTCATGCTGTACACAACCAAAGTCTTTAGTTAGATCGAAGAAGAGACTCTGAGCCTCATTATGACGTAAGCTTTGTACATTAAGATGAAGAAGTTTATCCATGTCTTCGTCAGCAACGCTACAATCTTTACTTTATTGATATTAGAGCTTAAGAAAAAACTGGTTTTTATCATGCGCTGTATTAAACTCAATAGTTTTTAAAACAATATTACTATCGAAATCACTTTTAATAATATTACTGATATACCAGGAAATAACTTGCTTAGAGCCAGTAGCCCGTTAATCGTACATTCAGCATATGAAGTGTTTCTGTTATTTTTTTCAATGCGTCAAGTTTTGAGTTTACCATGTTCACGATATTTTTGTCAGAGTAAAATTTAATTTATATAGAAATGTTAAATTAGTGGTACGCCCCAGGGGTATCAGATTATTTAGTTACATAAATATCACATAATCTTTACTTCCACATGTCACTCAGTTTGAGAAAACATCTTTGGTTGCCGTTAGGAATTCACAATTAGGTCTTACCGACGATTCTATTGAAACTTTAGACTTATCTATATACAATTCTAGCACCTCCAAAAGTTTCCTGCATATTCGTCACCGAATATTAGAATTTGAATTGGTCTACAGAGAACTCCTCCATTGCCCTCTACTGGAACAATGTGTCGCTCAACACGGGTTTCCTCCCTAATAACGTCATTGAGCAACTCCACTCCAAGATCAGATATGTCAGTAAGTGTGCTCTTATTCTCAGCAGGGCTTGGCTGCGGTGAAAGATGTAAAGATTCCCCTGAGGATATCCTGTTTTCGAGATTAGATAGAGGTATATTCCTTTGCGAAGTATCCTGAGTCTGCGCATGAACCTGCCTCGATAAGATATTGTCGGCCTGTGTATCGCTTTCGACAACTTTTGTTTTGCATATCAACTTTTCAATCAGTTGCTTGAGATGTTCTATTGTTCTGTCCTTACTAAGAAGTGAGCTTCACAGTTTGTCGATTTTGTAATTTATTTTTATTTATATTTCTTTTTCTATTTTTTATACTCCAACTACCCACGAAGGCCTAAGGCTTAAACACTCATGGGGTAGCGTGACGCTGTAGGGGGATATAGGAGAAAGGGGAGACGCCACACGGACTCTGGCGAGGGAACACGTGTGCATGCAACATGCACACATTCTGTCTCCGCCTACGAGATCCGCCGGGTGGTACCTCCGCGTTCGACAGCCAGAGACTATCTACTACCTACGGAAAATCTCAACATCCATAGCCAAGCGAAAAGGTTCTCTTGGGACGGGATTCGAACCCATACAGCGCACGGCTACTAATCAGGAGACCGAAAGAGTCTACTCTACCACTGCGGACACCGCTGCTGTCTGATATAGAGTGATATGAGCTTATTCCAATACTGCTCATTTTAGTTAAAGGGTCACATATCTGTTTACGCATTCTAATTCATTAACTAGTCTGACTTCATTGCGGTTTTAAAAGAAACGGAGTACCCTTGCTCTACAGGCTGCATCAAAGCGGATCGCATAAAAATTTGATTCCAACAGAAAATCTCAATATTTATCTTTCTTATATCCTTAACAATTTCACCCTTTTCTACGAATGAGAAGTGGCAAAACCGGCTGTGCAAAATTGAAATGTATAATTTCGTCGCCAGCGTTATTAGTTTTTTCCATACTCTTTAGAATATGACCCTGTTCTGTCATAACGGTTTGGATTCCTTCATGTGTAAGGAAATAACCTATATTCTCTAACATTTACATGAAATGTAAGGTTTTATTTGATGTCCAAAATAAAAATTATACTTCGGCGAAAATACAGAGAAATTGAATGAGTTCTCGTTCAATGTGAACAATCTATTTCAGCCATTAAAAGTATAATTTTATTTAGGTGGTTTACTTTTTATACTTAAATACTCTTTAGATGTCTCGAGTACTGCTACATGGACTATGATGTCCATTCGTGATGTGGTTTAGAGGCAAGGGCGTAACCAGCTCAAAACGGAGAGGGCACGTTGAAAAATTTATTGGTGGAAATTCCACATATCATATCTACATGCTTAATTTTTTGCATTCTGCTTGCATTGCATTCATATAGTCTTCCACGACAATTTAGCAATTCATATGATCATGGAAAACTACTATAATTACTTCTTTGAAACATTCAAGCAAATATTGAGCAAGATGCTTTTTCAAGTAATAATTTAGTTGCTTGCAATACTTGAAAGCAACATTTTTTTAGTCCATAGGCCAGGAAGTTAAATAATCGCGAAAAAACTTCAAATAGTTTTCAGATATAACATAGCAGGTAAATTTTCTGTGGCGTTAGTCAGTAGTTAGGCACTATTACAGACAGATTTATTGTTTTTGTTAATCGGTCCTGTTGCGATAGAGCAATCGTCAGAAAAAAACTTATTAATCATTGGTCCTTCTATAATTTGGAAAGTATCATTGGATTTTGAAGAAACTTTGGTAAAGGCCTCTCTAATGGTACAAGTATTATGACCAAAAAATGTGTAACTCCCTCAAACTTGACTTTATCATCTTTTCGTTTCTTATGATTTTGAACGCAATCAAAAATTTCCTTACAAGAGAAAACATCAAAAAGATGACAAACTTTGTTGATGTATGTTAAGACGTAGTCAAGAGCTTATTTGAAGGATTCAAAGGATGTAAAATCAGGCAAAACTTGTTTGTCAAATTCTCAACATTCAGTCACTTTTGTATAACTCCAAACACAACATGAGATGTGAAATTCTAAAATATGTGTCGCGAAATCTGCGTTGAAAAATGGAGAAACTTATTTGATCAGACTAACTAGTCAAATGTGAACCCTATTGTAAAGGATTTACAGGTATGTATTTTTTAGAGTGAATGTAAAATAGAACATTCTTAGTAACTTTTTTTCAAAGGTTAACGTTTTGTCTGTAGAATAATTGGGAGAGGGATGAAAACACCTTCAAAGTGGATATGTCCAGTTCGTTGCAAAAGTTAATTGATTATTGCAAAACATCGTTCATTTTTTGCCGAAAAGTGCATAAGCCTTTGTAATGATTTACATCAAAAAAGTCTTCAATTCTGAAGGTACCCAGTGACATAACTGCTGCAACAAATTAGATATACAGGGTAAGTCTTAGGCATCTAATTACACAACATCTCCATTACTATAAAACATAATGAGAGTGGTTCATAGCCGGATATATAGCATATCATACTAATGCCGGAAATATTTTTTCTTTGTCGATAAATAATTATTCGTCTTTTTTCTACAATATCTTGAAATTTCGCGATATAGCCAAAAATAGTTTTATAGAATATGTAGAAGGATATGTGCCTAATTTGTCCAAGAATGATTTGAAAAACAAATTTTTCATATTTTTACCCTGACAAAGTGACAAAGTTGCGTATTTATGGTATATATTTTAGAAAATGCATTTGAAAAGTTTTGACGCTTCTAGTATCTCCAGAGGTACACGGAAAGGAGAACGATTTTTTTCTGAATTTATTTGAGCCAGGATTTCAAAATAAACTGCACAATAACATTGCCACTTTTTGATCTCTGCAAGGTAGCATAAATAGGACATTAATATGATTTTTGGTAATTTTTCCCCCGTCTCAACTCTGATTTTTCTTATGTATGCCATACGTACTATAAAAAATTGTAAGCGTTGAAATGATCATATAGTCATTTATTCTATAGAATATAGAAGATGATCACATGTTACGTATTGACATTAAACTTCAAGAGCTTTACTTCATATTGTTGGTCTAAGCTCATCGAATGAGGAACAACATATTTTTATTATTGAAGATATTGAAGACGGTATAATTTAAAGAAACTGAGGCTGAAACGTCAGATTGGAATTCTAATTATGCCACCGTGTAGAAGAGAAAAAGTAGTATTATCATGTAATTTGTTATTATGTGGATGTTTGAGAACTTTTGTTTCGGTCTTAAGTCAGAAAAAAATAAAAACGACTTAGAGTAAATTCGGAAATACTTTGTATTTCCAATTTGTCCAAGTTCAATTTATTATTTACCTACGCAACTTGCCCTCATAAAGTACTCCGTGTCATTTAGGCGAATGTGACAAGTATCAGTATTTTCTGTGATCCGTAAATATATTTACCATAAGATGTGAAGTTTATTGACCGTGTACCCTGGACGTCAGTAATTATTGATGCATAATGTTATGTAGAAATCGACTGATGGTACGGACTACAGCAAATACTGATAGTGTGATATCCTCTTTACCGTTTTCCGAGATCCCAAAAGCGAGGTTCGAATTTGAAACACACGTATAACATATACACCGAAAACCAAATACCACTGACGCCATAATGTGTACGAGAGAGAAGCGCGAGAAGCGTGCAATACGTGTGTCAAAAGAGACCGAAGTACCTCGTTGCCTAGCAACCCTAGTACGAGGTTACGGATGCTATCAGCGCACTCTTTCTAACGCATATTGCACGCTTCTGGCGCTCCTCTCTTGTACACATGACGACGTCAACTAGATTTGAATCTCACCGTATAATGCTTTTAGCAAAATTAAGTTTACATCTAAAATTTCAACGAATCCTAGTAATTTCTCATCTAATAAATATTGATTCAGCTTGTGGAGAACCCTGTACATGCATACTTTCATGTTTGTAAAAACTGTTCTCTTCATCTAATTTTTGCCCCGCAGGGTACGCCCTGGTTTAGAAGAGGGCTATCCGACTGATCGGTGACACATACTTAACAGATCGCCGCGAGTATCTTTCACATAGAAAGGCGATGCAGTGATAAGTTTACAAAATATAAGTAACCAGCCAGCATCCTGCAGTATTGATATACCCTGTAGAATAAAAATATCCACCTCATCGAAGCTTTTGGCCATATGTCTGACTTGTGCTCAAGGTAAACTTGGAAGAACCATCTGCTTTTACCCTGCAAGATGCACGCGTCCATATCATGAATAACGCAGGTATCATTCACCCTTTGGTCACCTCGAGAAATGTATGGATGTAACGCATTGGTCGCATGTCGAACAGATTAAAAGGCACAACCCACGATGCTACACCAGTTTTCATGACCATCTGCCCGACATGTGCACAAAACTAAGAAATTCCTTAACGCCAGGTGCCGTAATAAGCTGCCCCTACACTCGCCTAGCTGGGGCCTCTTCACGGATGTGGTCGACACACCCGAAGGGTTTTTCTTCTCATACATACCGGGTGTTTCAAATTCGACCCTCACCATTGGTATCTCGGAAACTGTAAGAGTGTTGCTTAAGTGGGGGCAAAGTTGCATATTTACCTAATCAGCAAAACGCGCCCGTGGAATGGTGTAAGTGGTAGACGGTTTGTGACTGTCGAATGCGGAGGTACCACTCGGCGGATCACTAAGGCGGGGCCAGAATATGTGCATATTGCTTGCACACGTGATTCCTCCCTGGAGTCCGTAGTCTAGTTTAAAAAAATGTCGCTTATAAATTTTTCCTGACTTTATGTGTAATGGGATTTAAAAATAAATTGCACATTAACATTGCCACTTTTCCACTTCTACAAGATGGCATAATTAGAATTTCAATATGACATTTCATCTCTTGACCTCCAGCATTAACTTTATTTTATTTTATGGACGGTATTTTCAATTTTTGCGCAGATAAATAGAGAGATTTTTGATTCTGATTTAAAAAATGTATAATATGACATACATTGTCACTGCCAAACCTCAGTTCTCTTAGAAACACAGAATTTCCTAGGTAGGCCTTGAAATTATGAGGTAGTTATTTGTTTCGTATACAAGACGAGACCCCAAATTGAACATAGATACTAATAGAGTTTGGATGATTGAGAAGAAGGGAAATAAATCGTGCAGTGAGCAATGTACAGAGAAGAGTCAGTCTTTGCTTATAAAATAACATTTTGAACATCTGCTATGATTTACCTCTGCTTATTTAAAATTATTATTATTATTATTATTATTATTATTATTATTACCATCAATAAAATATCCTTTTTGTGCTCAAATTTTACCATAAATTTTTAATTTCTTATAATTTTCATCCAAAAACAAATTCATTGCCAATCAAGTAAATACATCACTGAGTTTCGGACAATGAAGCCCATTTAATTGTACAAAATTCCAATTAAACGTCCATATGAAAAAACAAACTTCAAAAAGGAACCTCGTTTTCAAAATTTTACGACGCCGTCTTGTAGAGGAGAATAAGTAACAATGCTAGCATGCAAGTTATTTTGAAATCCTATCTCAAATAAAGACAGGAAGACAATGTAGCGATTTTGGGAAAATTCGGTTTTTTCGGGTCTCTCTTCGGAAGTACTTGAATTTCGAAACTTTCTAAACAGCGTTTTATTAATTACCCAAAAATGCAACTTTGCTCCTATTTAATCCATTTAAGCGACTTTGTATCTTTTACAGATCTCAATGGTGAGGGACGAATTTGAGACCTTCTGTATATTATGGATAATTTCCAGGAACATAGGCATTGCTGAGCTGGCAACACAAGCTTTTTTTGACACATTTAACGGAAAAACTGTATCTGTGAAGTTAGAAAACTCTTAAACTTGCTCCGCTAATATTGACGTAAACAATTGAAAACTCAGTTGCGTAAACGATGGATGTGGTCCAGGGCGTCAAAAATAACGGTGAACAGTATTTCAAGTATTAATTACTTGGTATTTTTCACCGCAAGGATAAACGTTAAGTACTTTTCCTTTAAAAATGTATTTCAAGTATAAAATACTTCAATCCAGTACTCGATTTCTGCTTCTGAGTGCCCTTGCGATTGATTTTCTGAATATTTTTTTTCTTGTGATCTTTTTGGAGACGGACTCTCCCTCAGCTCGTACGTCTAGCAGCACTGTGTCAAAGTGTCAAAAGTGTAACGGTAGGATGACGTTGATGTGCTCGGAACACGACACGTTCACATGATATTACTTACTTCCGTTAGTGCTCATTTCATAATCCATACACAGTGTTGTCATGCCACTTATGGATGATAATGTATCAGCGAAAATTAATCATAATTGAATGGTGCCAGAAATTGTAAAAATTGCCAGACAGTATTCCAAGTAAAATTGTGCAGTAATTGAAATACATTTTTTGTTTTCAAGTATCAAATACGAATGCTTACTTTATGAAGAGTATTTGATATATCAAGCTATACATAGCCAGAGCGTTATAGAGAGCATAACCGGCAACACTATACCCTGTTTCACGAGTATCCATCACGGTAGAATGACAGCTGATTATTTAGTAATGTCTCAAAATTCTCATATCGGCACAGGACACAAAATTCTGACGGATCGGTCAACGCCAGGTAGTCCGAGCTGTATTTGTTTTGTTTTTTTTGTACACTACAGATTAATTTTGTACTTGCTCACAGGTCTTTTATTTAGAAAAGTTTTGCATACAAAAAACAAAACGCCACAAACAAATATTTAACTATAGATTTACCTATACGCGATTCATTATTGCCAACGTTGCAGACTAACACAAAAATGTCACATGCCGATCAGATGTTCACCTCAGTAGACGTCAAAGCGTGATGAATACTCGTGAAATAGGGTATAGTTTGGTGTTACCCGCCTACCAGCGAAACATTTCATAGAAAGCATCATTGCTTTGCAGTGCCTTCTTGTAATAACATACTGTGTATTTCAACTACACAGATTGATAGTCACTTTGACCACCTATTTGAGGGTGAGGGTATATCGCAATGTTTTGGTCTTAGTCTATTAATACATTATCAATCCCGCTAATGGGTCTTCTGTAGACATAACCAAAATAGTCAATAGTGGTAGCTGCTGGGAAGAAGTACTGTTCTCCTCACTCTGTACAAGGCCCAGATAAGACCTATCCTCGAATACTGCTCGCATGTTTGGGGTGCTACCGCCCCGACTACATTACCCATGCTCGATAATGTTCAGAGAAGGGATGTCCGACTGATTGATGACTCTTTTCTAACGGATAGTCTAGGGCGATCTAACTCTTTTCTACCGCTACGCTAGCGAGCTCTCCTCTATGATGCCGCCCCGCGATGAGCCTGCCAGACGGATCCGCCTTCCGTGTCGAACTTCGTCCATCCAGAACGGGCCCATATGACCGCCTCTTTGTTCCTATGGTATCGAGATTGTGGAAGCCTTGAAGATGACGACAATGCATGGCGAGAGAGAAGCCTCAGATCGGACAAGGCCTCCTTTTCCTTGGGAAAAATATTTGACAGTCCTCCTATAATTCGCATTTGTCGAATTGTCAAGGTAAATGAGGCTTCCTCAGAGGCCTTAAGTAAAGGAACAAGTATACATTCGGTTTTAAACATGGCAACCATAGTACCTTAATTATACATAAATGTAATTTACGTTATGTGACGCTTTAGAGATTTTTCACATTTGCTGTAGTACTGTCTAGTGATCTAAAGCAGAAATTATTACATATAAATTATTCTTTCTTCGCCGCAAGAGACTTTTGATATCTTTAAATAACTCATCAGAGTGATATTTTTTCTCCAAAATACGTTTCCCTGTTCTATTTTAAAAAATCAACAGCTCGAAATGAATGTATATGTTGGAATAGTTTTATTTTCGGCGTTAATGACGAGATTTTAAGGCTAATGAATCTTGTAACTATCCTCAACGCTAAACATTAATCTTTTTATATGCTCGCTTCTTACAGAAATAAAAATAGATTGAGAATTAAAGCATGCACACCTCTTACTAGTTCCTACGGTTAGAGACCGCAAATATAGATGTTCCACAAGGACCTGTCTGTGGACCATATACAACAACGTACGAAGGTTGATAAAGACAACATGTAATATCAAAAAGTACCTTATAGTTTTTATGATTGGAAGTTTCAAAGAACATAAAATAAAATAAACTGTTGTCTATTTAGAACCGTTAACTATTTAGAATTATACCCCGCACAACTCTTACTACTTCCTACGGTAAAATACCGCAAATAACAATGGTAAGTCCTCAAAGACCGGTCGTGGGGCCATTTTTGTGTAGCATATACAATAGCATACAAAGGCTGATAGAGACATCATAATGGTAGGTGTCCATTTGCGAGAAAAACTTTCGCGAGTATCTCTCGAGAGCATGTCTCGTAAATGGATACACGTCTGAGAGTTATTAAGGATTCCCCAAACCGACGCGAATATTTCGCAGCGACTGCGATTAATTCGCGACGACATTGTCGCCCAGGGACTCTTCAGCATCCTACGAACCGGCGCGAAATATTCGCTTTGGCTGCGAAAATTTCGCGGCCATGAATTCGCGATCAGATTAAAACGCGGCGGTTTACGGACAGGCTCAGACTTGTGCGAAGCGAATGCGATTGTTCCAGCGTTTTTATCGCGGCGTATTTCAGTTCGCCTTTGACCGCGTTTTTGACGCCGTTCTTCAAAAATTCGCAATGACAAAAACGGAATTATTGATAGAAATAGTGAAAAAGTATCCTTGATTGTATGATTTGTTAAACGATGAATACAGGAATGTGAGAAAGAAAGACAAGATTTGGATGGAAATAGGAAAAGAATTAAATACAAATGGTATGTACCTAATATTTTTTATTAACTTGTTAAGTAATTTACAGTCTACACAAATGTGAAAACGAACATTCTATATATTGGGCATAGGCATATCAGAATTAAAATAATTTACGAATTTATCACGAGTAGAAAATGCTAGCCTTGCTGCCCGCCGAGGATCATTTGCTATATCAGTAAAAGCTCCAAGCACGGGTTCTGGGGGATCTAAGAATTGAAAATATTTGTCATCGCCACTTTTACTTCGTAAAAAATTGTGTAAAACACATGCCGTACGTACAATTAGAATAGTAGTATCTACTTTAGTTTCTAATGGCCTGTAAAATATTCGCCATTTTTGAGACAAAATACCAAACGCATTTTCCACGACCCTTCTAGCTCGACAAAGTCTTACATTGTATTTCTCTTTTCTGACGTCTGCTAAAGTCTGCTTATAAGGAAATGGTCTCATAAGGTATGGTTTTAAAGCAAATGCTTCATCACCAATTAAGACGTACGAGCAGATTTCATTTTGCCCAGGGAGAAATCTAGGTGCAGGGACACTCATTAAATTTTGTTCAAATCGTTTTCCCATGTTTGAGGTTTCGAAAATACCCCCATCACTATTTTTTCCGAAACCACCAATATCAACACATATAAATTTATAGTCCGGGCCAACAATGGCCATAAGTACTATTGAATATTTATGTAAATAGCACCAGTAATTGGAGCCACTGTTGTTAGGTCTCTTGATTGTTACATGTTTACCGTCCACGCTGTCAATGCAATTGGGAAATCCCCATCTATTTTCAAATTCTTCAGGACATTTTTTCCATATATTCACTGTTGGTTCTGGTAAATATATATGTTCCATATGTCTGCATATCGCTTCACAGACTTCGGTTACGATTGCACTCACTGTTGTAAAGCCAACTCGAAAGCTATGCCCAATGGTATAGAAGGTGTCACCAGTGGCAAGGAATCTATAAAAAAAATCGTTTTTAGGTGATGAAGTAAAAAAAAGGTGGAAGAATATCAGAGACACATTTGCAAAATATATAAAATCTACCAAACCAAAGACCGGCCAAGTAGTGGGCAACATAAAGAAATGGCAGTGGGCTGACTACATGGAATTTTTCCGTCCTTTTTTGGCATTTGCCAAAACGTCGTCTAATGTGAAAGATATTGACGTCATACATTATGAGACTGCCGAATTTAACTCAAATATATATCAGGAAAGGGCTGGAAATGTAGAAACCGAAAATTTGGAAGACCGCGGCCATGGAGAAGATGAAAATGCTGATGTAGATGCAGAAGATGCACAGAACGCCTCGGCAACACAGACAGCACCACCTTCTTCATTGAATACTACAGCAGTGACTACTCCAGGGCACACCTTTCCGCAGACTGCAACTACACCAAAATATAAAACGAGCAGAAAACGCTATGAACCACCATCTTCGTCTGTACAACAGCTCATTAATTATTTTGAAGGTAAAAAACCTAAAAAGAGAACGAGGCCATTGATTCACTTTTCTTGGCACATGCACAGAGTGTGAAAACACTTCCCTTAAAGCGTCAAGCCCGAATAAAACTAAAAATAGCCGAATTAATAGCGCACGAAGAATTTGAACATATTGAAGAAATGTCTTCAGCGTCTACCCAGAATTCTGCAAGTATGTATGATAGTAGTATGTCGTCCTTCCCAAGCGGCACTGGGTTTACTCCAATAATATACCCAACAGAGGAGGCATATTCTGCCTCGAATTATTTAGCAACATTTAATCCTAGTGGCAACATGTAGTGCAATTACGTATTTCGTATTCGATAAGCCTACTAATTTTAATACATATAATTTTTTTACCTGAGTGTAATAGCAAGTCGTTCTTCTGGCGAAATAGCTTCACGATAATTTGTGTCAGATTTTCGTATTTCATCTTTCACCAAGTTCAATATTTCATCGAAACACTCTGGAGTCATTCTAAAATATACATAAAAGCGCTGTTCATCCAGCCGAAGTTGTGGCATCAAGGTATGGTATTCCCCAAATTTATTTCGTTCCAAGTTAATATCATGTACCCACTTCCTTCGTTTCCTAAACAAAATTGAAAATATTTGTTTTATGTACTTCGTTAAATTTAATACATACCCAACTATCAAATGGCGTTAAATAAACAAAACTTACCGTGCATTTTGTTCCTCTTCTAAAGCAAGAAATAGAAGTGCCTCCTCTTCTTCTGAAGACGAGCTCATTGCAAAAGGTAAAAATAAAATGTACGCAACCTGTCGAAACCTTCACGCTTTGGTATGAATAAAAACAGGCGAAACAGATTGCGAATTTCGCTCTGAATTTCGTTGCGAATACTTCGCCGCGATTATTTCGCGCCGGTTTGTGGGATGCTTAATTATCCTCTCAAGTGTATACTTATTATAGTAGGGGAGCCCACGATGCTAAATCGGGATTTACTCGAGCGTCATAGAGACCTAAATGCCCTATAATATAGGTATACCTTTTCATCGGTGGGTGGAGCGGATATAGATTTTCAAAAATGTAAAAAAAAACCTGTTGCATGGACATACTCGAGCTCGTCAGACATTGATATCATCCATGTCCTATGTATTTTGAAAAATGTTCGTATGTTAATCTGATTGTTTCCATCATGGGGGTGGTCGTACGAACGGGTTGAAAACGAAAAAAAAAAAATTTAATCGACCGCATCAGATCTTCAAAGGGGATGTTAAGTGAACCTAAGAGAAAACTCTTATATAATAATCTGATGATTTGGATGTGACTCGCGGTCATTATTAGAATGTGCAAAAAAATTCGTCATTTTGAAATACTCAAGCGCATCAGATTAAGATATATATGGTTCATCTTTATGCCCTAGACGTGCTTTCTCACAATCTGACGATTACCTGAATTTGACAATTAAAAAAAAATTATTTTATTTTTTTTAATCATTGAACTTAATTAATTGAAAATGTCGGGAAATAGCATGCAAATAAAAAAAAGTGCATGTTTTTTAAGTAGAATACTTGTAATTATAAAAAATAATTATAAATAATTATATTTTTTTGAGTACTTTTTCATCATCATCATCTTTATCGGTAGAATCATCTTCCTCATCTGGCTCGATTTCATCTTCAGATTGCGTATCTGTAACAAAAATTCATTAACATATTTAGTAATATTTGTTCTTATGAATAACGTGTTTTTTAATTATAGGAGAACAAATATACCTAATTTTGGAGTATCCTCAAAAATATCAGGTGTTACGACTACATCTTCATACGCTTTCGGCAATTGATCACCTGCAAACCAGATCATTTCTAACTTTCCATTGACTTCTTTCCAACCATAGTCCGTTGGCAAAAAATCAATAATTTTTGCATTGTGGGCATTACTCCACATCCATGCAATGAATCTTGTGCGTAACAGTAACAGATAGAGAAAGAGTGAGAGAGAAATAGAAACGCGGAGAGGGGAATATAGGCATCCTGTAGCTGCACGCATTAAACTTTATCGATTCATTTTTATTACTTCGGCTTGTGAAAATCGCCAGATTATATATTTTTCGTAACCCTTCAAAATAAAAAAAAAATTTCCACGCTCGAGAATGTCGAGTTGCCGTTTTTTTTTACAACTTTGTAGCCCTCCCTCCTCTCTGCGTCACTCTCAAATTGTCAGATTAGTCGAATATACATGTTTTAGCATGTAACTAACTCACCTTACTTTAATCTGACGCCCTCTAGAATTTCAGATGATCAATTTTTTTTTACTGATCTGATCCTTTATCCTTGACGGGCGACCATATATAAGGGGCTCATATTTGGTGGAAGTACTTAAATGGGTACAAGGTTTACTCCTGTATATTCATCTGCCGCGCTTTAGTAAATCCCGAAATCCTCGCTTGGGCTCCCCTACTGTTAATACCACCATTGGAGAGTAACTCGCAACATACGAATACGTTTCGAATTGTGATTGTTCTCGCAGCGATTGTTTACATTTTTTACTGGAATTGAAACATAATGGCCGCTAAAAAAGACTGGTCAAAAGATGATATAAACAATTCGATTTGTCTATATATGAAGAAAATTCTGTCCTGTGGGATACTGAAAATAATGACTATAGGAACAGAGAGAAGAAAAATAAAATATTATCGGGAATTGCAGGAAATCTCGGTTGCACTGAAGAGATTCAATGAAAATTACACAATTTAAGGAATCGGGTATAGTTGGTATAGCATTTTAAGGACTGAATGTTCCATATAAATATTCAAGTAAAATTCCAGATGTCTCAAGAACTGAAGAAGACAGAGATTCTAAAAAGCGGAAGCGGAGCGGATGAAATTTATATCAGCAAATGGCCATACTTTGATGCTCTCAAATTTCTGAAACCAATTGTTAGTACTAGTCATACAAAGTCTTCGATGAATTTAACGAAGACATCATTCAATGGTGTAAGTAAACACAGTTGTATTATTTAAGCCGAGTCGGTAGACGCAATGAATTTTGCTCACTTCAGCTATTAGTATTTATCTTTTTTTTATTTTTGGTTTTTATATCCCTATCCTTTACAATCTCTTTGTTTATACTAAGCTGAGAAAAAAGCGAAAGAGTTTAATGGAAATAACATATAACTTCAGTATTTTTGGGGGTTATTACTATATCTTTTAGTAGTTGAATCATAAGAAGGCTTAAAAATCTATCAATAATATGGCATTATGTGACAAAACTGTCGATTCCCACAAATGAAGAGAAGAGGAAAATTTTCTCCATAGAAATATATTTTATTGCTATATGTTCACATTATACAGCTGGCGTCATAAAATACTTCTTGAATTCATCTCTTACTTCTTTTTGGGATGGTTTATAGTTATTCAAATTCCCCCTATTTAGTGACGGAAAAACATTTTCAGAAACATTTTCTTTCCGCCAGTTACCTGGTATAATTTCATGAGTTCCTTCATCTTCAGCATCAACTAATCCCGGTAATAAATAGTTTGAATTGGACTGTATTAAAAAATTATGTAGAGTACAGATCGCCAGAACAATATCTGTCACAGTTTCCGGATCTAGGTTCATGGTTTTTCGAAGAACTCGAAACTTGCTTGAAATTATCCCAAACGAATTCTTGACAATTCGACGAGCTCTGGATAATCGATAATTGAAAATTCAATTTGGGGCAGGTTGATCACGAAATGGATAAGGTTTTAAAATATACGGTTTCATCGCAAAAGCGTCGTCGGCGACAAAACAATACGGAACAAGCATTCTTCTGTTAGGCAAAGATTGAGGATTGGGTAAATGTGTAAGACCCCTCTCTAGCCCATCAACTAACAAACAGTTATTAAACACGCCTCCATCGGATATTCTACCATTGCATCCAACGTCAACGTACGAAAATTTGTACTCTGCATCGGCGACGGCTAATAAAACAATACTGTATAACCTTTATACAGTAGTTGTAATAATAACTTCCTCTATTTCTTGGTGCTTGCATAACAATATGTTTGCCATCTAAATCACCTAGGCAATGGGGGAAGTTCCATCTTCTATTGAAAGCTTCAGAATGTCGAAGCCATTGGTCTGGATATTTTGGTAACTGAAAAGAGAAAATACTTTGAGGTGTATGAAATAAAACTATTTTAGTTAGCTATTTTTATTTTAGGTAGAAAAATCGGATAA